AGGCTCTTGATTGTATTCTAGGTGTTAGATTAGTAGCTTTATCTATTTCCCAAATTGGATTTTCTTTCCTTTCAAAGAAGACAGTGGTCATTTTGAGGAACTAGAAGTGCAACATGGTCATGGCCAATCCATCACTGGAAAATGAGCAAAGGATTTACACTGCAGCTTCCAGAGGCAGTAGAATAGTACTGATTAAGAGTATTTAGAGAGATTAGAAATAGGACATGAGCACACCGAGGTAGGTAACTGAGGACATAGAAGTAGAGAATCATTAGAGTGGGTGCTGTCGTGTTAGGCCTGGCCACAGTTCAGTTTTCTGAACATGACACTCATATCAGTGTCCATCCATGATCTGTTAGAAATGACATAAAACTAAATGCGATTTATTCCCAGAGGAATTAACCTTTAAACAAAAGGGTGTTAACAAGAAGCCTACATGTCAAAACATGTACCAGGGAGTCACTCTGGCTGAGACGGGAAAGGAGATTAAGAGAGAGCCGGCTATGTGCAGAGTTTTAAACCAGCCAATAAAATTAAGACAAATGTAAAGAAAGCGTAATATAGACAACTTGTTTAGGGGCAGACCAGGGCAGAATGTAAATCCTGTGGTACTCAGCCAATGAGGAACCAAGGGAGGGATTTGCCTGCTAAGGAACAAATTGCTTGTTGTAATGACCCTAAGTGTGCCTACTCACCAGACACCTGATCTCGCAAGTCTACAATTAAAGCCTTGCTCCCAGTTCTCTTTGTCTCCATGTCCATTTATTGACTTTGGACCAGTGAGCTTGTTTCTCACATGATCCAATCATTTCTTCCCTATCATTGTTCCAGATTGTGTAGACGTTGGAGAATGGTAGGGAAAGAGGCAGAAAAATAGCTGTTGAGAATTCCCTTAGAAGCTGGTAGATAGGTCTGAAATATATTTAATAAATAGTAGGATATTATATGAGCAAAAAGTAATCATTTACACATGTGCTTATACCATGGAAAATGTTTATAGTATGTTAGGGGGTAGAAATGTGAATTACCAAAAATATGAATAGTTTGTATGCTGTTGTTTGCAAAATATCTTAAGATAAGGAAGATCTAGAAGGAGAAAATTAAATGTTAAAAGGGATTGTGGATTAAATATTCCTTTACTTTGGGGGATATTTTAGAATATATTTTTGTATTTACGTATCATTATAATCAGAGACAACTCTAAAGCTATTTGCATTTGGGATGACAGGAAAATAAACGAGGTTTGAATATGGAATGAGGAGTCACCATATAAGTAAAAAGAATGAGCTTTAATTTATAGACTTTTAACAGACATATTTGCTGTTATTTTTTATTTACTGTTTAATAATTGTGTTTTAGGTTCACTTTGAACAAGTGACTATTGCATTAATTTAATTTAGTATGTTTTAGATAAAAGGGAAACATTAGAAATATTGTATGTGTTTCCTTAGGTTATTAACTGTATTTTATTTCACTGGTTTCTCCTATTTAATTTCAAATAATAGCTCTCAAATTCCATGTGACTGAATAGGTCCTTTGTTTGCACTCAGACATCCAGCTTTATTCTGAGTTATAATTATTGAAACTATAACTGAAGGTGGTTTTCAGCAGATTGAATGGATTGACACTTACGGAATCATTAGAATAGAAGAGACCTTGAAAGCTCTTCTACTTCACTTCTCTGCCTTCAAGCTAGGATCACATTATATCCAGATGAATTCAGACCAATTTTTGAAGACCTCAAGAGATATCATCAACTCCCTTTGGTAGCCCATTACAGTGTTTAAGAACAGTCAGAAAATTTTTCCTTCCATCTTTTGGTAATCTGAGTCCTTCACAGTATAGTTGAAGGCCATTTCCCCTTGTTCTGTCATCGAAAGGATAAAGAACAGCTGTTTACCATCTTCTTCAGTACTTAAAAGCTTAATAAATCTCTTTACCACTGCCTTCTTTTCCAGTTCTTTTTAGCATTTTTTTGTCCTCTAAACTCTATTCAGATTTTCTTTTGTTGTACAACCCTGACCTGGATATAAATTTGGCCAGAGCTGATTGTAAATATAAGGATCACTGTGCTGTTCTAAGTACCACATGTTCACATTTATGTGGCTATTGTTTTATTTTGGTTTATTACTTAATCTATTATTTTATTTTGGATGTTATTTCTGGGTGAGATTGCCTTGTTTCTGCTTTTATTTTTGTTGTTGTTTTTGACATGTTATTCTTAGCTTCATTGTTTTCCCACTCAGAAATACTTTATTTTGAATATTCAGTATTTTCTATGTTTAGTTTTTATCCTTCTTATAAAAAAATATCATTATCCTTTCATCCAAATTCTTAAATATTTCAGTTCTAGGTTACTAATGAAACTTAACATTATTGTTCTGTTGTTGAGGCCTTTGCTGTTTGGTGTTATGTAGGTTTCATCTGGTTTGAGCTTGGCCTTGGATGTGCTCCTTGCACTGGTTGTGATGCAGTTGTATGTGAGTTCTCCCTTAGTATCGCGAGAGTGAATCCCAGTCTCTCCTCCACAAAATGGCTACCCACTAAACCTGTCCAGGGCTTGACGAGGAGGGATGGCAGGAGGCAAGTAATGTGAAAGGTGTAGTAACATCATGGTGCTGTAAAGGGAGGATTGACATTAAAAATGAGGTATGGAGAATGGTATCCACCTCTCTGTTCCTGAATATTGAATAAAAAGGATAATGTTCTTCAAATTAATAATTGTAAATTTATGTCCCGAAACCATTGGCGTACTACTCTGTCCCAGCCAATTCTCTACCCCTCAGCTTAGTCCTAGACTGAGTGTTATCCAGCTTGATGATCAGAACTTTGGTTGCAACAAAATCCTAAGGCTTTGCTCAAGCCAACCAAGCAAGTTTGGTTGCCATTCATCCTGTTGAGTTTGCTCTCTCTCCTATCACAGAAATGTTACCTGTAACTGTGTAGCTGTGACACTTGTTATTTAGATTAACAATATTCTTTAGACAAATTAATATATTTCATTTTGATACCTATTTTCATTTTTAATTTAATATATTATACCAAATGTTTATTTTAACAAATGTTTGGAAATTTGCTTGATACTTGGTAAATGCATACTCTTTCAATCAAGAATTATTGAAGTGATTTATATGGAAATTAAGTATGTATTTAAATCAGATAAATTACTAAGTAGTTTCTATTCCTAAAATTTTATACAATATAAATGAAATTTTTAAATATTTTTATAATTTTTATTTCACATTTAAAGTGTTTTATTATTATATACTCAGGTGTTTTAGTGTTATGTGTGTTCTTTATGGCATGTATTTTCATCTTTAAAAATTTATATTAGTGTGTTACATTAGAAAATACTACAAGGAAATGAGAATATAAGATTTACATAACACTTTGCTTTCTGAAACATAAATGAAGAAAAATATAAATTCCTGCTTAAAATAAGCCATCAATATTGGCAGCACCTCTTCCACATTGGCTCTATTTTTCCCCCACACCTTTTGGAGTACTTCTTTCTTGGAAAGCATTGCTTGATGAAAGGACTACTGTTATACTGTAAATATTAGTATTTGCCACACTTTTTTTTAGAAGCTGAAGAGTATGAAAAATGTTACTCTTACCAGTGGTGTGATTAGCTGTTAAACAAGTGAAAATACAATATTTAAGATTGCTAGCTCTCCCTTTCCTCATAAGATATCCATATTAACTCACTCACTTTATCATTTACCTAATAAATAGCTCCTCAACCTCTGTGTAGTGCCAGACACTATTCTAGGCAGTGAAGCCTATGAAACACATGCTGTCGGCCCTTCTGGAGTTCATAGCTTGGCAGTGACTGTGCTGTGAGTGCTGTAATTGTTCCCAGAAAATAAATATTACCATATATTCCTTTTCATCCCGTAAGAGGACCTAATTCTTTGCATTCCTTGATGGGCAAGTTATTGAAATGATAAGGGCATATATAAGAAAGATAAAATTTTGACAGTTTTTTCTAATCATGTCTCTGAAAAATATACATTTATATGTTATAAATATATAAAATATATATTCAGAATATATATATAATGAAAATACTAGGCTAACTGTATAAAACAACAGAAGTAAAATAGTACAGTAAAGAGAAAAGTAGGCAGAGCTAGACTGCATTTAAAAGAATATTTTATGTAAAATAATTTACATTTGAGTCTTTAAAATAGAGGTTTATTCATGGTGTGTGAGTGTGTGGTGCACATACCAGGTATATGCAGCCTCTGCTAGTATATGTTTTTGACTATATATCTGGGGGATTAAAATCAGTACAGTTTCTTGTTAGCTCACTTGACCATTGTAGGAAGAATTATAAATGGAGGAGAATTTTATGTTTTATCTTATGTATCTAAAATTGAAAATACTTACTGGATCACGTTTGCTGTTTCATTAACCTCTCCTTGGAAATTACAAGTGGATCCTTTCATTATATGTGTGTGTGTGTGTGTGTGTGTGTGTGTGTGTGTGTGTGTGTGTGTGTGTGCTGGGGGTACTGGGTTATAAGACACAACTCGGCAAATCATGTTCATGTCATGGAGCAGTTTATAATGTACTTCGGAAAACAAATAAATCAATCACAAAACAAGATCACAGTTCCTAATATAGTAATATTTTAAAAGTCCAGGAAACATAGGCTGTAGTTACTCATGTTTAAAATATCTCTTGTAAAACTATTCTTTTGGAAATAAGCTATAGATGTGAATAAATTATTGCATTTAGGCATTTAGATGTTTTAAAAGCTTTTTTGGTATCACTTTTCAATTTTGATTCGTATCTCAGAACATAAATTACTAAAGTTAATAAATGACAAGTTCCAATTATATGTATAATGGTTTATATAAAAAATGAAATTAATGGAAACATGTAAAAATGTATTTTCCTTGAAAAGTTTCATGATGCCATCTTTAGTACTAGATTGAATAATGTTAGTGCTAATAAAAACTGCGTGATTTAGTTATGTGTTTATTTACATTTAGGTTTGAAAAATGTGTGAGTGCTAAGGAAGCTGTGGAAAGTGATCTTTATAATCGGTTTATTCTGGTGCTGAATGAGAAGAAAGCAAAGATCAGAAGCTTAAATAAATTGTTAAATGAAGTTCAAGAACGAGAAAAAAACATCGAGCAAGAAAGGTATTTTGGCCTTTCTGTTTGGGATGGCAGATGCATAAATTTAAATGGAATTTTTTCCCCAATTTAAGGAAAGTTAGGTGCCAACTTGTTTCTAATAAGAGATCATTTGATAGTTTGCGGTAGATGCTCTGACAGCTGGTTGCATTGGGCTGGAGAATTCTTAACATGATTTTCTCCATGTCTGCCTAATTGCCACACCTACACTTAAATCATAAAACAGGCATGAAGTCTGTCTGAATATTATTTGTTTAATTCTTAGACATCACTAAGAAACATATTAATTAAAGACTTTCATCATTTGCAAAACTACAGAATTGGACACACATTTGTAATCTTGGTATCTAAGCAATGGTTAATTTTAGAATCAAGTGGCTTTAATAGTGGATGTATATTTTATTTTTAAGAGTCATAGGTGACTTATGGCTGGTATGGCTTGGACAATTATAATTATTTTAGATATTAGCAGATATAAGTTTGGGTCTGTTACTCTGAATCTGAGAGGAAGCATAGGTTTACTAAGGGCATAGTGTAGAGAATATATATAATATCTTATATCAGATGGTCCTAATTCAAGTGCTGGTTTGGCACCAGTATCTATTAGTACATAAATTTGGACAAGTCCTTTAAATTCTCTGTGCCTTACTTGCATATCTTCATAATAATAAAGATATTCATCTCAAGATTTGGGGGAAATCAAGTGGAAGGTAGAAATTGCTTTGCAATCAGCAGAATATTGAATAACCCACAGAGTATCATTTGGAAGAATAGTATTTTGATTAATGAATAATAAACGATAAGCTACTTATTCAAGAATTATAGTGAGCACTAAACCACATAACCTTTAAAGTGCTTTCATCTTAATCATAAATATTTCAACATATGTTTGTTTAATTATAATGTTTTCCCAGGAATATTTTTCTATAATTACTTAACTGGTGAATTTGATACATAGCTAGGGGTAAACCAGTAATTTCTGATTCAACTTTATTTTATGTCTAGGGAAACAACATGTTCTGAAATGTCTGCTGACAGAGATGCAATCTACAATGAAAGTACAGATGAGGAAAGTGGAAACGTGCCTGCTCCCTCTGCGTTAGCTCCAGGTAAGAGAGATACGTATATTTCCTTTCCCGAATAGCTCACTTGGGCTTATTACTTTAATGATAATAAATCATGATGTTATGAAAATTTTTTTTCTACAAAAATTCTTTAGGGTTTTTAGTCTTCAACATGAAATACTTCATGTGAAAAATTAATATTTATTATAAAATGCAGCAACTCATTATCAGCAACAAAACAAGCAAGCATGCACACACATATACACACACCACAGAATAGTATTCCTTGTTAAACAAGCTTGAATAAGGAATAAGCAAGATATGTCTTCATGTTAAATATCTCCAGCTCAAAGCTAGCCACTTTTAACATTTGATATTTTTCTCTCTCTAGAGCAATGAGTCGGGTAGTGGAACAGGGTGATCTAGAATGCTTTAGATTATCCTGAGGTTGCAGCCTCCTCTCACTATTTAGAAAAGGGATTGTTTTTAGGTGAAATGGGTTAAAGGAGAAAGAGAAAGGGAAATAGCAGTTTAATTTAAAGTACCTGAGCTTTACTCAATTCCTCAGATCAGTACCGAGCAGATTTTTAAAGTCCCTAGATTATTTTTCTAGAGTTTTATAGATTTCCTTGAGAAAGGAGACCTTGAGCTCATCTATATTTAGATGGCTCTGACATATGCCCAATATTCTCTAAATGTTTGATTCACATATTTAACAAATATTTTTTGAGTGCCTATTTATACAAAGTATTTTTCTATGCAGTAGGGAACAAAACAGAAAAATTTCTGCTGTGATGGAGTCTAAATTCTAGTCAGAGAAACACACAATAACAAGATGAATAAATTAAATACTATGCTAAGTAGTGTTAAGTGCTAAAAAGAAAATAAACCAGGGAAGGGTGATAGGAAATGTGAAGGTGGGAATAGGATCAGGGTTGTGATTTTGGCAGGGTATCAGAATAGGCCTCGGTGAGAGGGTGTTTTAAGTCTATCTGTGGGGAGAGCATGCCAGTCAGAAAAAAGCAGTTAAGTATCAGGCTTTCCTGATATGTTCAAGCAATAGCACAGAAGGCAGTATGGATAAAGTGGAAGAATGAAGATTGGGAGGACTAGGAGATGAGGTCCTAGAGAGGCTGGATCATATTTGGAGCTTTATAAGCTACTGTAAAGGATTTCAAGTTTTACTTTGAGTTACACTGGGAACTGTTGAAGGGTTTCAAACTGTTAAGTGTCATGATCTGACTTACGTTTTTACAAGATTAATCTGGCCTCTGTATTGAGAACAGAGCGTAGGATGATAAACACAGAAGATAGAACAGTGGAAAGCTAGTTCAACAACAAGTGAAGGAGAATGGCTTAGACCAGAGTTAGCAGTGAAGGTGATAAACAGCAGGCAGATTTTAGATATGTGTAGAGACGGCAGGATTTGCTGAAGAGATGGGTATGTCATGAAGGAAAGACAGACCCTGATGATGGTAAGTTTTTGGACTGAACTACTGAAGGCATGCAGTTGACTTACTGAATTGGGGATGGATGCAAGAGAAAGGTTGGGTACTCAGTTTTAGGATCGTTAATTCTAAGATTGAATAGGGAATCGAATATACAAATTTTGATTTGGGAGAGGGCTCCCTGCTGAAGATGTAAGTAAAGGTAGTATTTACAGTTGGCTGAGATATCAAGGGAGTTAAAGACAGGAAAGGGTGATGGTCCAAGGTCTGCCTTGTGCATCTGAATGTGTAGAGGTCAGGAAGATGAGGAGACCAGCCAAGAATGCTGAGAAGGAGCAGCCAGGGTATAGCACGCAAACACTGCAAGTGTGGTATCCTGGAGGCCAAGTCAAGGAAGTATTTCAAGGAGACAGTGATCAGCTCAGTCAAATGCTACAAACTGGGCAAGGAAGATAGGGGTGAGGAATGCTTAATGTCAGCAACACAATTGTTATTGGGGTCTTAATAAAACACAGTGGAATGGCAGGGAATAGGAAAGAAGAGGAGGTTCAGAGGGAATAAGAGGAGGAAATTGGAAAAGAAACAAGCCTAAGCGACACTTTTAACAAGTTTCTTGCCAAATTAAGGAAAGACCTAAGGTACCAACTAGAGGAGGAATTGGGAGCAAGAGTGTTTTCCTTGGGTGAGAGAAATAATATATTTGCATATTGACGGGGGTAAATAAAGTTGGAGGGAAAATAATGTCCAGGTAGTAGACGGAGGTAAGAATTGCTGAAATACTTTCTCTAAGAAAATTAGAGAAGATGGGATCAAATGGACAAGAGGCAGGATTCATTTAGCTAGGAGCACAGGCACTTCCATCATGACAGGAAAGAAGGTAGAATAAATGGACAAAGACATGGGAGGGTATCTAATTGCAGTCATGCAATCTTACTGATGTTGATTAAATTGGTTTGTTGATTAATCTGATTTTCGATTCGAATTGGACCACATAGTCATACTTTCACTTTTGCATGTCAGAGTTAAGCCATTTTTCATTTGGAAGCTATGCTTGTTTTACACTAGTGACCTATTTAAAGTGAAACCATGCTTTTAATAATCAAATGTGCACAAAGAAAGAAAATCTGTACTTTATAATTTAAATGTTCAGAATTTTTATTACATAAAACAGGCTTTAATTCCTCCAAGTGGTAAAGATACCTCAAGACAAATGCTGGGCATAGAAGCCACAGGGCATAAATCTGCAAAGAAGTAAAAAGCTAACCTTTTCAAACAATATGGCTTCTCTCTCACTTACCAACTTTACATTTCCCTGTACGGCCCTGGAAAATGACTGGTTAGCCAGAGACGGGTAAGATTCCTCAAGGGAGGAACAACCTAAGACAGGCACAGTCACAGGGGGTCCATTAGGTGAGAAATTGGGGATCAACAGAGGTGAGGCTTAGAACCTCACCCCCCACCCCATTTTGAGAGAAATCTTCTGCATCCATGGATGTTTTGTTGCCCTTGTCTAGCTTGGATTAACACATAGTCTACAGGCACACCCCTGATCATCTACAATTGCTCTCTTAGAACACTAAACTATGTTTTCTACCTTTATCTTGCATCTACCTACCACTTCAGCATTTTATTAAAAAAAATAATAATAATAATAAAGGGAGAAACATATAAATCAAGTATAAAAATCAAATGAATATTCATATTTGACCTGAGATTGTTTATAGTTCATAATGCGTGATCAAAATCGAAAGTTTCTGTGATGAATGCCCTTGCACTGTTCACCATGTAAGAACTTATTCACTATGTAAGAATTTGTCCACCATGTAAGAACTTGTTCGTTATGCTTCAGAAGATTGGAGACTGACGAAAATTAGGCTTGAGATGGATTAATGATCGTGCATTGAGCATTGACTCCCCTATACAGAATTTTATTGTTGTTAACAACCATTTGATCAATAAATATGAGAGATGCCCTCTCAAAAAAAGAACAACAAAAAAAAACAGGCTTTGATTTTGTTCCTTATTCAGAGTATCTCACCAGCCTTTGAAGTAGATGAAAATTGTTGATGACAAAATATATAGTTAAATATGGGTATATAAGAATGGGGTCTTTTGTTCAGTCTGTTTTAAGCAATGCTTTACTATAATTGTGCTATTTTAAATTTGGCAAAATTTCTCTTCTCTTCAAAAATGTTTAGTTCATTGCCTACTTGTTCTGTATTTTTAAATGACCAATTTTCTTTAACTCAGATCTAGTTCACTACATATTTGATTCATAGGTCTCTGATTCTAATTTTTATTTATTTTTTGCATTTAACTTGCTTTTAGTGGGTTTTGATGTCAGGAATTAAGGGCATTTTTATTAGAAATTTTAGCTATCCTTTTCTCTCTGCCTCAGTAAGAAATATTCAGGAAACTGAACTTTGCTTAAAAAAAAAAAGAACCACGTATCTGGAATGCTTGCTATTGAATTAAGAACTAAATTCCATAGATCTGAAAAAAAATATTGTATATGTCAAACTACAAAATGATCCTTCTTTGAACTTGCTAGTTTCCATAATTCATCCTTTTACAGAAAGAAAATGTATTCTTAGTCTGTGGGATATATACATACATACATACATACACACACATATATATTTATTTATTTATATTTATTTATCATAGCTGTGTCTTTTATATATTACTGCTGTGTGTTTGCAGCACAGCAGTGACAATTTCTTCTTGAGCTTATTCTGCCATCTTGACAATAAATTACTTCTTCTTAGAGTACAAGTAAATATATGAATTTATTTTAGGTATTTCAGGTTCATGTGTGTTTTTCCTACAATAAACACAAGAGAGAAAGAAATTGATGGGATTTAATATATTTATTCTATCTTTCAGAAAGCCATTCTTTAAATGGCAAAAATGTGTAACTTGGTAGTATTTCTCTTATGTAAATATATTTTCATCATTACTTACTAAAATTACCAAATTTCCTCATGAGTTGTTCACATTATTACCCCATTCCTGCATGGTAAGAGTTTACTGAGACAGATTATTTCGTGATTCCACAGTATTCATTCAAGGAAAAGGTCTGTTTGTATTTATGTATATATCCAGAAGTACCGGAAGTAGGGTAAGGATTTTGTAGTTTGCAGGTAACTGATGGATAGCATTTTATGAATAAGGAATCTACTTTATTACTTATTACTAAAGCTTTCAATTTTCCCTCATCATTAGGATTATTGAGCAAATAACTGACAAGTACTCCAATCTAATAAACTTTGTCATGCTCATATGTATGATACCATGTACTGTGAAAAGCTTTAAAATATTCATTAATAGTTTATTAGCTAAAAGGAGATCTCTGAAGTATTCTGAAACTTGAGCATCACAGTCTATACCTTCCCAGAACTACATTTTATATTTTTCTGTAGCAAGATTTACTTCTGCTGCATCTTAACTTCCAGAATTTCTAGATAGGTAACAATGGTATTACAGACTTTATTTCTTTAATTACCACTACATACTAAGGCCCTATCGTTCAGAGGTATTTCACTTTATTTCAGATTAAAGTTATGATAAATACTATTTTCTGTTGTCTCAACCCAA